GCAGCAGTTTACATCATTTTATGCAATAGCATTATGAAAACAATATTCTTGACATAATGTGATGTTATGATGCAAACAATATTATCATGCAGATATAGATAAAACAAATAAAGTTATCTGGATTGCTGTAATGACATGTTTTTCAATTTAGTAGCCCTATGGAGAATAATGGAAAAAAACTAATTTGTTTTAATTAGTCCATTAAAACAAATTTTCACTCTTATTCAAGTAGCAATCATATTGTAACAGAGTGACTTTAGATTGATGAAGGATATTTAAAAGTATTTTTTCCTCTGGTTTGGAAATTTTATAGACCTTTACAGTCCAGGGAAATACCTGGGACTTCTACAACTTCTACAAGTCAACTCTGGAGATAAAACCCCCCTCCCACATGCCAAAGAAAGGAATGCAAATTACTTCCCTAAAACTGACAAGAAAGTAAAAGAAACTTCAGGGCCACAGACATCAAAAATGTTGAAGTTGAGGTTATCTTTATGTTCACTTATTCAGGATTTTGCATGAGATTACACTTAAAGAGAACCCAAGATAGACAACTACCTAAATACAGTTTACATTTTTCCAGTGGAAAGTATGCTGACAACAAGAAAATGAAAGTCTTCATGATAAAATTTTGAAAATGTTGATCAAGCAAAATGTTCTGCAGTAGATGACATTGCATGGATCAAGATCTACACTGGTGTCCATCTATTGCAATGAACAGTAGAAGGATCACAAGAACCACCTTATTTGATTTATAAATGATTTTATTCCTCATTTGCTTTACAAATGTTTTTATTCTTCCAACAGTCTGTACAGATTTTCTTCAGGTTCTTTTTCCCCCTGTCCCTAGAGCAACAATAAAAATTTACTGCCCCACAAGTCACATAATATTTTCTTCCAGCTTCATTAAGAGACCTCATGAAATTCAATGAGGACTCAAATTACGAATACTTCTGTTTATAAATTGTGCTTCTTACTAGATAACAACTAAGGCAAATGAACTGTTTTCTTAAGCTTGGGGAATGTCTTGCTACTGAAATTTTGCAGATAGATGCACATCTATAAAACAGCTGCATCTTTTTTTAATGTTTTTTTTACTTTTTGTAAACTTTACAGTGGCCACATGTCTACAGAGTATGTTAGTAGCATTTTAGAATGCACAATGTAATATTGGCACACTGCATATTCCTGAGATAGAGCACGAAGTGAAGTAGTCTGCACTACTCAAAAAAATCTGTTCTAAGAGTTAAAAAATTCTACGCAGAAATTCATGAACACAACATATACGATTTCATCGACTTCTTTGATAATGACTGTAAGACAGCTTTGAAGACAGCTTTAATATCATTCACTAATACTGACAGAAATGTCTGAAAAAAGCTCTTATCATATAAATATGCAGCACAGGTATAGTATTACAATTCCATAATATCAGATTCATGGAATTACAAGCCAGATATGCCAATCAAATAGTTACTGATAGTAGCAGTTTTAATTTGAAACTTTGTTGATTTAATTAACAGTTTAATCTCATACAGGTAGACCCACTGTAGAGATTAACCATCTTGAATTTTCCAAATAAAAACTTGAAAACTTGAGCAAGCATGCATGTAATCCATCACTAATGTTACATACAATCTTTAGAACATTTTTATCAGCTCTATTTACTATTCCAAAGTTCAGGAAACAGTTATCCTATAAATCAGAGATCAAATGCCCTATAATATACGCTGAATTGTCACATGTGACATAACTTTATAGATGGCACAAGCCAGACTCTGCATGGCAATTTATTCTAGATACTAGATGTACCTTCCTAGGAGTTCATTCAATTCTTCTATTTCAGCACCTTTGACTCCTAGCATGAATAAAGTGGCACTTAATTGCACAAACATTTTATGGAATATAATGCTTAATATCATGCTAAATAGATCTCTTTGCACTAAATAGATCTTATTGCAAGTGCAGCCAGGTACTTATATTCCATAGGATGGTCTTTTTGTGGGTTATATGACAACACTGAATAATTTCTACAGCATTTATCACTCTTACCTGTAAACGCCTACCTGTTCATATTTATTACTACATAACTTGCTTTTACTTGCAGGTGTCTTATTCCACATAAAGTCTTCTTTTATACTCTTTATAGTTTTAAGAGCTTTAATACCCCCTCAATGAACAAACATGAAATATACCTGCTTAGAATAATTCTTAACAATTTAAAAGACTATTCTATCATTGTTTCCCCAGCACGCTAATTCACTCAAAGTGGCAGGCAAACAATATCACACTCCTTCTTAACTTCAGATAGAAACATATTAGTCATGGGAAAGACATCCAAGAATTCCAAGGTATGACTAGGACAGTGCTTTAAACTTTACAGCATTAAAAAATGGACAATATTGTCTTGAAATATTAAACAATTTTGGTTCAGAGACTGGTATGCAAATTTAATCGGTTTATAAAGCTGCTATTTTTTTTCAGTAATGCCCCCCTCCCCATTATCCATTAAATTTTACAATTGTGTATTGAAATCTAAAGGGACAATTGATCACAGAAGTAAGTATCTTCTGGCATACTATATCATATTGTATTGTGCCCACCCCCTAAAAAAAAACAAAACCCTGACAGTAGTTGTTTCTGATAGCAAAATTAAAGCAAAAACACAAGACATTTTCTTTCTTTCCCTTCTTCTGGCTTTGACACCATTCTCCTCATTCCACCCTCTCTAGCGGTGGCTTCCCAATTGTAGAGATTGCAACTAAATCACTATCATCTGTTCGCCCTGTTTCAGTTTGGACTAAGAGCTTCAGAAATACGGGCTGGTAAAATTTGCTTTCTCCGAAGACTGCCTACGTTGTCAATTTTACAAGAGTGACACGTGTCCTATCTATCCCCCATTAGAAGTTCCTGCTCACGTCAAGAGACGTGCCCATCACAGGGCCGCACCCAAGCACAATAGCTGTTAAATCACTTGCAAACAAGCGGCGGAAGCAGGTCTTGAAAGTCGAGAATTGCCAAGAAAAGGTATTAAGAAGTGTGCAAATAAAGAAACCAACTTACACTCGGAGAAAGGGAAGAATGAACGGCTGCTCCCAGAGGTCGTAGGGAGGGGGTAAAAAAAGCCACAAGGGCTGTATATTTGAGTGCCTGCAGTAATTAATTACTCACCTCTTTGATCTTTTCTCTTTTCTGCTGGACGGCGGGATCGCTGGGTTCCGTTCCGACGGCCCCGATAGGTTTGCGGAAAGGCAGGTCGGGCAATCCGGGAGCCCCCGGCTCTCCCCGGCCCAACTTGTCCTGCAGGAGAAGCTTCACCTTGTCCTGGTGGATGTCCCTGCGGATCTCGTCGGGCAGTTTTTGCAGAGTGTCTTTCGCCTCTCGCAAAGCGCGCTCGTGATCCTCACGGATCTTGGCTAAGTTCTCCGCCGCTTCCTCCGCCGCCGACGAGCCGGCCCCGAAACTGCTGCTACTCCCCGCACCCGCCGGTGGCGGGACGTGCGGATCGCCCTGGGCGGGCGGCGGCGGCGGCGGCTGTTGGAGGGTGGTCGAGTGGAAGAAGACGCCGCTGAGCAATTTGGGGGAGTCCGGCAAGAAGAAGATGGCCCCGAAGCAAAGCGTGATGAAAGCGCTGAAGACCAGCAACAGCACGAACTTTTCCGTCAGTCGGAAGGCACCGCTGGGAGCGGGCCCTTTTCGGCTCCCGGGGCCCCCTAAGGGCCCTCCGGCTAAGGAGCCCCCCAAAGCGCTTGGGTTCGCGGGGCTGCCGAAAAGCGGCAGCAAACTGACGGCTGGCATGACAGCTCCACTGATAAGGTCCGGCTGCTAGAGGAGGACGACGACGGCCGCGCGGGACAACCGCGGGGGCGGCCCGTTTGCAAGGCTACCCCTGCGGCAGCCGCCGCTGCCGCCGCCTCCCCAGCCCCACTCAGAGCGGGAGAGCAGCGGGACTAGCCCGCGCCCGTCGTTTCGGGCCGCCGCTGCCGGGGGCAACTTCGCCGTCCTCCCCAGCGACAGGAAGTTTTCTCGAGTCTCTGCCGCCGCCACGGCCGCCGCCTCTTCTTCGGCAAAAACACGACTCCCGCTCGGCTGGAGCCCTGGGCTGAATGCAGGCAGGCGGTGGCGACCCGTGGTTAAGCGGCCGACGGCGAACGAGGGATGGAGGGCAGGCTCTTGTCAGCTCCTGGGGCGGCTGCCGCCGCTGCGCTCTCTAGAACTGGCCATGCCGGCGCCTCCAACGCTGCCTGTCAGGTAACAGACGAGCAGAGGGGCAGGCGGGTCTCGGAGCGTCTGCGCTCCCCTAGAGGCTCCCCGGCTCGTCCGTAGGAAGGGACAACCTTTGCTCCCCGCTGAGGCGCCGCCTGACCCCGCGCGCTAAGCAGAACAATCGCTTTGCCCCGTCACGGAGTGCGGAACTGAGGGAGGCTCGCCGAGCCAAGAGAGCTAAAGAGGAAAAGAAGGGGAGGCCCCCTTTGGCGGGGAAGGAGCGAGCCGGGCCAATCACAGAGTAGGCGGAGCAGGGAAACGTTACGGGGGAGAAAAAAAAAAGGGGGCGGGGCTTAGAAGGCGAGGCGAGGCGGTTGACGTGGGCGTGGAAGACGTTCCGTTAGAAATAACGGAGGAGGCTCCGGGCCGCTTTCCTCGGATCCGAACGTGCGAACTGAGGGTGCCGCTACAGTCCTCGTGTTTCCCCGTCGATGAGGGCCGCCCGTCACGACAGAGGCAGTCCCCGATAGCTCCAGATTCGTTAGGTTTCCCCCAACTCTGTCTTGTTAATTCAGGCGAATTGGGTCGGTGCTGCATGGAAGGACATTAAATGGCAAATGCCCGTTTGTTTAACCGCGCAAAACTCGGGGTGGGGGGGGGGGAACCTCGAGTTTTTTTTTTTTTTTTTTTAGGCTTTTTTTCCGTATCTGTCTCATGCACGGGGTTGGGAGGGTCACGGAGTTTATCGCTTTAATTTTGCAACGCGGTGACACGTAATAAAAAGGGCTACTAACGCTGAACGAGTTGTTATTACGGAGGTGGTGTGCCAAGGAGTGAAATACTGAGTTATTTCTTTTGCTTCTGTATAAATAGGCGTAGAATCTGCATCTCCTTGTACTGAATGGGATGAATTATCAATGAAGCACGTTAGAGCTGCTTTATAAAACTGGGTTTTGTTTTGTTTTTTTATCTTGCTGTAAGGCAATATTCCTCAGTCTTCAGTTGATTGACTCCCAAACATTTATTATACGGAAATAATACAATGAATGCTACTTAACTAACCAAATAATGTCAACTCCGTGGCTAGCAATAGTTCTTAGATTTATATACCACTTCACAATGTTTTAGAGCCCTGTCTAAGCGGGTTTGTAGAGTCAACATATGGCCCGCAATAATCTGGTTCCTCATTTTACCGACCATGGAAGGATGGAAGGCTGACTCAACCTTGAGCTGATCAAGATCGAACTCCTAGCAGTTGGCCGAATTAACCTACAGTACTGCAATATAACCACTACACCACCACAACTCTATAGTCCCATCAATCTTTGTGTGTATGTGTGTGTCTCCGTGTCCTATATTGACCACTTTGGGGAACCTTGCTGTAAGGAATAATGGTAAAAGGACTCGATTAGGAATGAAAAATCCTGCCACAAGGTCAGTTATGGAAATTCACTGGTGACTTTAGACAATCACTCGTTTTCAATCCAATTTATCCCACCAAATTGATAGGATAAAATGGAGATTCCTACATTGTCCCTTGATTTCTTGAAAGGCAAAATATAAATTTAGGAAATCTCAGAGAGTTCTCCTTTTTCTTATACAGGTAGTCCTCAATTTATGACCACAATTGAGCCCAAAATTTATGTAGCTAAGTGAGACATTGTTAAGTGAGTTTTGCCCCATTTCCTTGCTACAGTTTTTAAGTGAATCATTGCAGTTGTTAAGTTGTTCACACAGTTGCTAAGTGACTCTGGCTACCCCATTGACTTTGCTTGTCAGAAGGTCGCAAAAGCGGATCACATGACTCTGAGACCCTGTAACTATCATAAATAGAACCAATTGCCAAGCATTTGAATTTTGATCTCATCTTGGGGATGCTGCAACAGGCGTAACTAAAAAATGGTTAGTCATTTTTTTCAGTGTCATTGTAACTTTGAACGGTCACTAAATGAACGGTTGTAAATTGAGGAGTACCTGTACTGTAGTTCATCTTACTTACATGGAATAAGCATTGTACTGTGCAAGCTTTCAGTCTTATCCAGATCTGTAAATTATATTTTTATTCTGCATCTGATATGCAGCCTTCTACTAACTTTCATTGCCAGTCATTGAGGTCTATCACAGAAGAATTAGACTCATGTCTGCTTAAGAACATGCTCCTATCAATCATGCATCATTAGATGGATGCTGCTATGGTACTTTGAAAGCAACAAAAATTCAAAACCACCAACTATTCTATAGTTTTGGGAAACCCTGCTTTTTTTTCTTCCTTCTATGCTCTTGCATTGGTGGAAAATACATTTGCAGATATACACCTTGGTGCTTTCTTTTTTCATTGCAAAGACACTGCTCATTATGCTCCCTGTTTACCTTTGCACATAATGAAGTTCTGGAAGTATTTGTGATCTGTCAGTATCAACACAGCAAAGGTAGAATGAGTTTACAATGCACTGGGAACAGCAGTCAGTCAGGATGTTATATATAAGTGTTCATTTATAGATGGGGTAAAAGAAAGTCTGGAAGATAAGGGTGAGACTCATATAAAGTTTATTTCAATTACATTGACTACCAGAAAGTACTTTGTGATCAATTTTTGTTTTTTATAGAAGCTCTTCAGACATGGGTAACCAAGTGTTATTCTGGAAGGTTCAAACCCTCTACCAGAAATTTAACTCAGAGACTTTCATACTTTAGATGGTTTAGAAAGGGGGACTTCTCTATTTTACATGGTGATAATGATGGAAATTATGTAAAACCTTGTATGTGGAGGGGTATAATAATATAATACTTGTCTTGAAGCTTAAAGGAAGGTGGACTGTATATACCAGTGTTTCCTTAGCAACTTTTAAGATGTGTGGACTTCAACTCCCAGAATTCCCCAAGATAGCTAAGGCATCATTACATACTAGCAATAGACAGGATGCACGCAAATAGTTTTTCCTATTTGTACTACATCACTGACAATTTGGATTGCCTAAAAATATTTTCATTAATATAGCAGAATTTAAATCTCTCTTTATTTTCAACCTGATCTATTTCAAAAATTTGGGGCAGGTAAAATATGCTAATTCTTCATTATCCTCTGCACCATAAATAATTTTCATTTACTCCATTTCTCAGAAACTCAAAAAGTGATTCTTCAGAGAAAGATTTCCGAAGTTGTTAGGTAGCTACTCAAAACACTTCTGATTTGGTGAATTTTTCAAGAGTTTTAAATGCTTGTGATGCAATATAGAAATAGCTATATAGATTTGCAGTTAAAACATAAATTGTAACCAGACTAAAAATTTTCTTTCTGTGCATGAGTATTTTTGTTGCTTGGGCTCTGATCTATGTATTACTAAATTTGCTTTTCCAGAAATAGTGGAATAGAAATGAGGCAGTGCTATAGAGTACATCTGTATGAACAAATCTACAGATGTTCAGAGCAAGTGCTCCTTAAAGTGTTCCGTGGTCAGGCATTTTTCCTGGCCTAAAGGCGATGATGGGAGGAACATTTGGTAAGCAGAGAGAAAAAAATGCTGATTTTTGAAATTAGAAATCTTACTAGTTTTTGAGTTTTGTGAATCAAGAAATAGGTGCATTGTATACAGTTGTATTATAAGGAATTAAAATGTTCAGGGGCGTCAATTTTTCTCTTTATTTTCTAGCAAACTCCCGTTCCACTTTATCCTACTTAGTTGGCAACTGATGTAACAAGTGATTACTAGTGAGTGGGACTTTTTCTCCAGACTTTTAAATTGTGAACTTTTTAATTTGGTGGATTTTATTTCTAATTCATCCTTTTAATGAGCATTTCTTTGTGTTCTTTTGTTTTGCTACTGAACTGTTTACCCAAAAATTTGTAACCTGTGAAGTCTTTGACACTAAACCACATCGATGGTACAGTACCTTCAGAACATGTGCAACTTCCTGCTGCTTCCTTCACATGATTAAAATAGTATGTGAAGAGAAAGGCAAAGCAAAGCACAACTCAATAATAACCCTACCTTTTCCCCCATTTTAAAAGAAGATCAAGGTTTCTGAGGTATTACTTTGTAGGTAGAATTATATTAAGAGACAAAAAAAAGCACTCTTAACATAACTTTTCAATGACCATATTCCCTTTGAAAATGATTTTTTGTATTGTAGATCACTACGTGTTTTTTTTGTTTGTTTTTTTAAGCACCAGCTTCCTTATGTTAAAGTTAAAAAGGAACAATCTCTTCTATGTTGAGTTCAGTTTCTGGTGTTTTGATACGCACAGCTGTCCTCTCCGAGTTACTGTTTTTGGTTAAGCACTTAAAAGTTCATACAAAGCCCAGGTTTGTTTCATTGTTTAATAATTGTTTATTGAAAAAACTACAACAGCTGAATTTGTACAGCACACTAGTATTAAAACCCGCAGTGGCTGGGTTTACACAAAGTCCTAATCCAGAAAGAAAAAAAAAGTATATTCTAATTACAATTTATTTTAATTCAATATTCATATTTGTATTTTGTTTTGGTAAGCGTTTAGCTTTTTCTGGTATTATTTATTTGGAGTTTTCTATAAGCATTCTGGTAATTGTAAGTAATCATCAGAACAATTTAAAACTACACTGCACCATAGTCTTAAGAATTCTAAATCTCTTCATGTTACTTCATGCCTTGTGAAAAATTGTATTTACATAATTTTATATCCATGTCTTCCAAATTTTTCAGTTTTTTCATTTAGTTGTTATGGTCCATTTCTCTTTCATTTAGCTAAAAAATTCCTTGAACATATAATTCTCAGCTATTATTCTTTCCAGATAGTTTCCAGAATGTCTTCTTAATTAAATTCTGTTGTTATATTTCTCCCAACACAGGGTTTTAATATATTAGATTAAATTTAATTTATTAAACCAGGGTAGAATTTTTAGATTAAGATATAAACTTTTCTACTTTATTCCTAATCATTCATATTATGCTGACAGCTTTAGTCAATTACTAAGTATTGATGTTAATAATAGTTCTAAAATCTTAATTTGATACCAGATACTTTAACATACATCATTAAATTAATATCACTTTAAAACTTTTATTCAATCTTATACTGTATATTGTATATTTTTATTGTATATTTTTATTTCATTTTTTTCCTTGCCTTTTTTCTTGATTGTGGTTTAAAATAGCAACTTGAGTAAGTATATAAATAAATATTGCTTGATCAGTGAGAGATTCTTTTCTTCCTGTCTATGTAGTTAGTCAGTATACTTAAGAGATCTTTCCCAGTGGATACATATAAACTACAAAACTCTTCTAAAAGGAATTCAGTATACTCTTTCTTTGCTTCTCTTCTGCCATGTATTAATGCTTAAAAATTATTATTCAAGCATCATTTTAGTTGATTTTTTAAGTTTGGAAATTATCCTTATTTGGAATGGGAGGAAAACTTTTTTCCTTTTGTTTTTATTATATATTGTTATTTTGTGTCTAAATGCTATAAAACCCTGGGCATTGAAATATATATATATTGAAATAAATATGATATATAGTTAGTGGAATAGGTATGAGAAAATGAATTCCAGTCCTACTGCTTTATCTTAATAGTGCTGCAACTTCCTAACAAGGCTGTTTCTGAAAGCATGTAAATCCTTTATTTAAATACCTGGCCTAGGTATTTAAACTATTGTTTAACCATGATTGTTGATTAAAATGTAATGGGCAATTTCATATAATATATTAATAAAATTAAAACAAACCCCATTGTGACTTAACATAATATGAAAATCCAAACTGCTGGTTTCCATTCTGTATTTGAGCCAAATTTGAAATGCTTTTGATGTTTTCATGATTTGGCACCAGTATGCCTGAAAGACAGTTTTCAACCAAAGCTGTCCCATATGTCTTAACACCCCTGCAGTTTCTATCTCAGACAGGCTGTAACTGCATACTTGGGAGTAGTTTTTTTTATTGAATTTAAGCTTTCATCAGATTAGTGTTGAGCATATCATAACTCACTGTCTCATTTTGCATTATGCACTGAGTCATAATATGGTTTATTTGGTTTGGCTCAACCTGTTTTTTAACCCTATTTATTGTGGGGTTTTTTTTTCCCTCCGTGCTTTGTAGATCAATTTAGTTTAGTTAACTATTCTCTAGCACAATGTCAGATCGAGCCTTATTTTCTTATCTGTATGAAAATGAAAGCTACCTAACCTATCTCTATAATGAAGTATGATTAACTCTTTTTTTAAATAACAGGCTAGTATATTGTATTCTCCAAGTTAGGGAAGTGTAAGTGATTCATGCAAGTATGTACATGAATCAAACAATACTCAAGAATAAGTTAACTTTAAATTAAACTGAGTTAAGCTTCCTTAAGTATTTTTTTGTGGAGGAAGAAACACCTCTATCTAATCAGTATCTTTTTTTCCCCACTTTTATTTCATGTATCTTACTCACAGACAACAAGAACAATAATAGAGAAAAGATCCATGTATTTTTGAAGGACTTATACTGTATGCCTAATATTACTGCCAAGGTGATAATTTGTATGCGTTTAACATTTTCTTTTGCAAAGTAAGAACATTATTTTGAAAGTACCATATTTTTCGGAGTATAAGACGCACCGGAGTATAAGACGCACCTTAGTTTTTGGGGAGGAAAATAAGAAAAAAGCTGATTGGGTGCGGAATACCCCCAATCAGCTGTTCCCAGAGGTGAATTTTAGCAACAGGTTCCTTGGTTGTGAGCTCTGTGCCTTGCTTTTTTTTCTGCCTCTGAAACTTCTGAAACTCCATTTCAGAAAAAACTTATTTTTGTGCCTTTGAAAGCCTCTGAAACAGAGCTTCAGAAAAAAAGCCTCTGAAATAAAGTTTTTTCTGAAGCTCTGTTTGGAGGCTTTTTTTCCGAAGCTTCTTTCAGAGGCTTTTTTTTCCAAAGCTCTGTTTGGAGGCTTTTTTTCTGAAGCTTCTTTCAGAGGCTTTTTTCAGCCTCTGAAATCTCCGTTTGAGAGGCTGGGCAGGACTACATTCGGAGTATAAGACGCACCCAGATTTTCACTCTCTTTTTTGGGGGGGAAAGGTGCATCTTATACTCCGAAAAATAATTTTGGTAATTTTGAACAGTGATCTAGTGACTTCGGATGCTCAATTTGGTACTGCCATTTTCAGTCTAGTAGCCCTAAAAAGTTTTAGGTAGTGCAACCACTCATGAGATGGTAGTTCTCAGGGGGTAAAACTGCCACTGGTTGATTAACCTCCTCCAGTTTCCTCCAAGGCCAACGGAGCCGCCCTCTCGATCTCTCAGCTTTTGTTCCAGCTCATCTTCCCCCGCAGATTCAGACTCCGACAGGGGTATGACACAAAAACCCTGGGATACTGCATAAATACATGCTAGTGTCAAGTGTCCAAATTTTCATCATATGACCACGGGGATGCAGCAATAGTGGTAAGTATGAAAAATGATCATAAATCACTTTTTTCAGTGCCATTGTAACTTCGAATGGTTACTAAACAAACTGTTGTAAGTCAAGGACTATCTGCATATACTCTCAGCAGTCAGAAGATCATACTGTTTACTACTCAGGACATCTTAAACACATTAAAGATGTAAATAGGAACAGAAATATATGAATTTTTTTTCCAAAAGATGATCAAATTCAGAAGGAATTCCCAGCCTTGGCAGGCTAAAGAATACTAGTAAAGAGAAGGTAATGGGTTCAAAAAAGATCAAACAAAGATGGAAGGAATATACTGAAATTCTGTACAGTGAAATTTATATCGACAATACCTTTGAAAATATTCCCTATCTATAAGAATCTCTAATAGTAGAAGATGAAGCTATTTGCGAGTCAGAGAACTAGAGGAGTTGGAGTATCCATAGAAGTGTGGCATGCATCAGAAGAAGAATCTGTAAATGTTCTAACCAAACTATGCCAGAAAGTCTGGAGAATGGCACAGTGACCAATAGGTTGGAAGAGGTCAACCGATACACCAGTACCAAAGGTACTTAACAGATTACAAGTGCAAACTATATACAATATCCTTAATTTCATGTGCTATCACAATAATGCTTAAGATCATCTAATGCAGATTAAAGCCCTAAATGGAAAGGGAAACGCCAGATGTTCAAGCTGGTTTTAGAAAAAAAAATGTTAATACTGATGCACACTGGATGCAGTAATTGAGAAAACCAAAGAGTAACAAGAAAAGTCAATATGTACCGTATTTTTAGGAGTATAAGACACACTGGCGTATAAGACGCAGCTTAGTTTTTGTGGAGGAAAATAGGAAAAAAAAAATCTGCCTATCAGGTATTCATCTGGCTAGCGTCCTTAGTCTGGTCAGCTTCAGCACATTAGTTTGCTGGTTTTTATCCCCTGTTTGGGGATAAAAAACAGCTTCTAAAGCACAACTGATCTTTGGAGAGAGAAGCAATGAGAAAAGCAGGCAAACGATGGAGATCACTCTGCTAGCGCCTAGTTAGGGATGAAAAAAAGCTTCACAGCTGAGAGTCGGAGGGAGCAGGCAAAGCAGGGAAATGGAGATCGCTTCACTCACTAGCGCCTCATTAGAGCTGAAAAAAAGCTTCGAAAAAATTACATTTGGAGTATAAAATGCACCCAAATTTTCAGCCTCTTTTAGGAGGGAAAAAAGTGCATCTTATACTCCAAAAAATACAGTACTTAATGGAATATAGAAAAGTCTTTGATTGTGCTTACTATTTCAAATTGTGAAATATGTTTAGAAAAATGAGAATTCCAGAACAACTAATTGTTCTTGTACAAAATCTATATAGGGATAAGGAAGCCACAGTAAGGACAGAACATAGCAAAACAGATTGGTCCCAGGTGAACAAAGGAATAAGGTAAAGATGCTGTATACTTTCTCCTTATTTATTAATCCTATATGCTGAATATATATTGAGGGTTTTGAAGATGGGCATGGTTTTAAAATTGGAGGAAAAAAATAATAATTTATGTAATATTGATAACACCACTTTGATAGTTGAAAATGCAAGTGACCTGCAAGCTGTAGAAATTAAAAATAAGGTGAATAATGAAAAAAATGACACTAAAGCTAGCTATAAAAACACCAAATTAATGACAATGAGTACAAGAACCATCTTTGAAAACAATGAAGATATTGAAGTGGTGGATAGCTTTATGCCTTTTATGATCGATTATTGGCAGTAAAAGAACCAGCAGTCAAATACATGTGTCACATATTAGAGCTTGGTAGGTCAGTGATAAAATATTTTGGAATATTTGGATGCCATGACATAATTATACATACAATGATCAAAATTGTGTAGGAGAAGTCTGGAGAAGTCTCTAATGCTGTGAAAGGCAAAAGGAAAGAGAAAAAGAGAATGTTTAGTATTAAAGTAGATGGGCTCAATTCTAGTGGTGATAGGTGCTCCATTGTAAGCCCTGAAGGAAGAGGTTGATGGCAGAGCCTCCTGGAGAAAACCTACTTTGTGTCACTAAGAGTTGACACTGACTTATACATTTTCTAAATAAGTTAATAATAATAATAATAATTAATAATAATAATATACAAGTTGTTATTGAATATAGTACTTTGCAGAATATTGAATTATGTTTGCTCTGTGAAATTTTAAAAATCTGAATATTGTATAAAAGCTATGTCTGTTTTTGTTTTTGAAGTGGACGGGAGGCATTAAAAAGTGGCTGGAAAACTTGCTGCCAATTGGTAACTTAGAACTAGCCATGAGACTAGAATTGTAGTCCAACCACACAAGGGCAGTAGATCCCAAGTCCTGCCTTTAAAACCACATATGAGAATTATTTGAATCATAGATATGTTAGGTGCTTAGCTATTTTAATATAAAGCACCATTAGCACTTGGTAGTGACAGGATGGGAGCAGTAATCATTTGTGTTAAAATACCCTGCTGTTGGAATGTTTTGAATGAAGGTACTCATTAAATCCTAAATCTCCCTGTCATTTGTGTTACATGGGTTCAGTTTCTTTGTGGCGGAAGCATCCCATGAGTATAAAAGGAACCTGCATACTTTGTACTCTTGTGAAGTTTCTCTTTTGCAGTCTCTTTATTAGTGAGTGGCCATATGGTATTTATTATCTTTCTTGCTCTCTGACTGGAATAATACATCCATTTTTATGGTGCATATGAATAGGAATCTGTCAGATTTTCCTGTCTTATCATTTGGCTGAAGGCTGGATACTGTGTTTGGAAGAGTTTATAAAGATAAAGGTTTTATGAAAATGCTTATTTTTAGCTCTCACAAGAGAATGGGATGCAGTCTTCATATTTTGTCCTAAATATTTTCTATTCCATCTTCAAATATTCTGTTTTTACATTCTCTTTTTCTTTATATTTCCACTTCAGGAAAAGAACACCGGCACCTTATCAATCTGTTGCCATCAGACACATTTAAATCCATCAAATGACTGGGAAAAAAATGAGCTGCACTTTGGAACTGATAGATACTCAGACAGAATAGAAGTTTTACTTGAGACTTTCTTTGCCACCTTTCAAAACAAGTTTTCTTAAGATGACTAGTGGTCATCTTGAAGGAGGCACTTAGATCTGAATTCTGTAGGAAAGCACACCAAGTTAAACACTTAAATTATTACTGGTTGTTTACTCCGCCTTTACTCACTTTAAGAATGCTTTCCATTGATTGATTGATTGATTTGATTTTTATCCTGTTGCCATTATATATTAATCAAAACAACAATAGAATTGGAACAGGGTACAATCTGGATGGTGACAGTAGAACCAATAGAAAATAGAGAGCAAAGTAATAACAATAGTTGCAGGTGAAAGGTTCTTTGAAATATCTCCATTTTAATACTTCCCTAATTATTAGCCATAGTTAATTATTAAAGAGGAAAGCAGTCTGATCTCACTGAGGAGCCATTCCATAGTGTTGGCACTGCTGCACAGAAGCAGTGCCATCTAGATGGTGATTCTGCTGACATCCCAGAAATGTGAGACAACAAAGAGTCCCTTCCTACATGATGACAACAGGCTAGGTTGAATCCAGTTAGATGAGGCAGTTCTTGGCATACTGAAATGCTATCGAGCTTTATAGCTTATTACCAACATTTTAAATTGTTCTTAGAGCTGAACTAGAAACCAGGGCAGGGCCTATAATTGGAAACTAATTAAGGAGAGAAACAACCTAGAACCAAGGAGAATTTCCTAACAGTAAGAACGATTAATCAGTGGATAAATCTCCTCCAGAACTGACTGCTCCAACATTGGAAGTTTTTAAGAAGAGATCAGACAACTATTTGTCTGACATGGTATAGCGCTTCCTGCCTGTACAGGGGGTTGGACTAGAAGACCTCCAAGGTCCCTTCCAACTCTGTTATTTTGTATTCTGTATACAGATGTAATATGCTTGCAACTTCAGCTGCCTGATCTAATTAACATATGATCCACCACATTCTGGATTAATTGTACTTTCTGGGTAATTTAAAGGCAGCCCTATAGAAAACATGCAGAAATCTATCTGGGCGATGATGAGGGCATTACAATCACTAGGTCTTCCTGCATCAGATAAGGATGCAATAGGTGCAACTGCTGAAGCTGGCCTTCCCCCACCAATGGTCCAAGCAGGAGCCATCGGTCCAGAAGAATCCTGAAATAATGAACCTTCTCCTGCTATGGTAGTCCTTGTCTGTCTAAGGATAATACTGACTAAAGGAGGAGCCCAATGTATTATTATTATTATTATTATTATTATTATTATTATTATTATTATTATTATTATTATTATATAGCTCAGCAGCTCGAGTCCTAACCAAGGACCTAGGAACTGTTAAGGTATCGTCGGAGGATGTAAGCTGTTCCGAGTAAGGTGGTTTTTTGTAGAGTCAAAATGTTCAAGTCCGGCAAATTTAGAATTTCTAAATAGCGGGGTAACCCTTTGGGTATTGCTCCGAGGGCTCCAATTACAATCGGGACAACACACAATTTCTTTTTCCACAGTCGCTCAACTTCAATTTGTAAGTCCCGGTACTTTGTGATTTTTTCTTGCTGCTTATCTTCAATTCGTGCATCACCAGGTATTGCAATGTCAATGAACCATACTTTTTTCTTTTCAACTATTGTTATGTCAGGTGTGTTGTGGACCAAGTGCCTGTCAGTCTGAATCCTAAAGTCCCACAAGATCTTGAGTTTCTCATTCTCTAAAACTTTCTCAACCTGATGTTCCCAGTGGTTTTTGCTGTACTCAAATCCAAACTTCTGGCACAATTTCCAGTGAATGATTTTAGCAACACGGTCATGGCGTTGTAGGTAGTCAGTTTGTGAAATTTTGCTGCACCCACTGATCAGGTGGTCGACTGTCTCATCTTTCTCATTGCAGAGGCGGCATTTGCTGTTGGTGGTAACATGTTGAATTTTTGCCTTCATACAGTTTGTGGCTAGGGCTTGTTCTTGAGCTGCCAAAATAAGAGCCTTGGTAGTACTAGGGTTTAAGGCACCCTGTTATTAAGCTGCTTAAGACCAGCTGCCTGCAATTACTGCAGGGTTCGAATCTCGCCAAGGCTCAAGGTTGACTCAGCCTTCCATCCTTTCTAAGGTAGGTGAAATGAGGACCCAGTTTGTGGGGGCAATAAGCTGACTTTGTATAAATATACAAAGGATGAAGGCTATTGTTGAGCACATTGTAAGCCGCCCTGAGTCTTCGGAGAAGGGCGGCATATAAATCAAATTAAAAAATAAAATAAAAAAAAATAAAGCTTTCAGTTTCTTTTTTCAGTACTCCTGATCTTAACCAGTTCCAAGTTAGTTTCTGGTCAGCTTTGCCTTCAATACTTTTCAAGTATTGGCCATGCAGAGCTTTGTGTTTCCAATTTTCAGCTCGCTGCTCAATTACTTCTTTCTTATATTCTGCTTTTGTTTTAGTTGTCTTTAAAAGGCCTCCTTTATTTACTTCCTTAATCATTGGTTCTTCACTTTTCTGGATGTAATCATTCAAGCTGCATTTTTCTTCTTCCACAGTCTGCTTTACTTGTAGGAGTCCTCGACCACCCTCTGCTCTTGGTAAATATAATCGGTCAACATCACTTTTAGGGTGCAAGGCATGATTCATTGTCATAAGCTTCCTTGTTTTTCTGTCCAAATTGTCTAACTCCATCTGGGTCCAGTCAATTATTCCTGCAGAGTATCTAATCACAGGTATAGCCCAGGTATTTATGGCTTTTATGATGTTTCCTCCACTCAATTTGGACATTAATATCTTACGAATTCGCCGAATGTACTTGGCTGAAGTTAATTCCTTGACTTTATTATGCATTAAGTCAGAGGCTTCTAAAATCCCCAAGTACTTGTAGCCTTCTTCTGATTTTACTGCCTTTATCATTTCTTCATTCTCTAGTTCTATTTCATCCTCTTTTATGATCTTGCCTGCTTTGGTTGCTATTGTTGCACATTTGTCAATTCCAAACTGCATACCAATGTCTTGGCTGAATTCTTTTGTGTTTTCAATTAATAAATTCAGTTCAGCTTTTGTTTTACCAAACAGCTTCAAATCATCCATGTACATCAAGTGCGAGATTTTCAGTCCTTTCTTTGCAAGTTCGTATCCACAGTTCATCTTCTTCAAAATAATTGTCAGTGGTAGCATTGAGAGTATAAAAAGTAGGGGTGAAAGGGAATCGCCCTGGAAAATGCCTCGTTTAATTTCAACTTCACCCAGTTCTTCTTCATTAGCCATAAGTTTTGTTTTCCAGAGGTTCATTGAAGATTCCATGAATTTTTGTATGTTGCTGCTGATGCCTAATATTTCCAGGCATTTGTTGATCCAGCTATGGGGAACTGAATCAAATGCTTTCTTATAGTCTATCCAAGCCATGAACAGGTTGGTTCGTCTTTTCTTTGAGTTCTTTAGGATTAGCTTGTCGATCAGCAATTGATCTTTTGTTCCTCTTGAGTTTTTGCAGCATCCTTTCTGTTCTACAGGAAGCAAGTTATTTCTTTCCAGGTATCCATAGATTTGGTTTGCAATGATACCAGTAAGAAGCTTGTATGTTGTTGGCAAGCAGGTGATTGGCCTATAGTTTCCAGGGTCCTTTCCTTTTTCTTTATCTTTTTGGATCAAAAATGTCCTTCCAGTTGTCATCCATCCATCATTTTCAGGTGTTTTTAGGATCTGGTTCATCTGGGTTGCCAATCTTTTGTGCAGACTTGTAAGTGCCTTTAACCAGAAGCCATGCAGCTCATCCGGTCCAGGTGCACTCCAGTTCTTCACTTTTCTTGACTGTCTTTGCACCATTGCTTTTGTTATTTTCACGTCTTCCATTTTATGCACTTTAATAGAGTCCTCAACCTGTTTGATCCATTTTGCATTTCTGTTGTGCTTCTTGTTGTTTTCCCACAAATTCTTCCAGAATTTCAGAGCTTTCTCTTTATCAGGCTTTTCATTTGTTGTTACTCCGTTTCCATTTTCTAAATTCTTATAAAACTGGTGCTGATTTGCTCTGAACTGTGAGTTTTCCTTGAACTGAGTTACTCGGTTTTCATACCTTTTAATCTTTTCAGCGATGGCAACAACCCTCTGCTTCAGCTCTTCAATTACTACTGCAATCTCCTTATTCCTTAGATCGTATCTTGCTTCCAGGCTGCTTTTGACCTGCTTGTTCTTTAGCTGACCTTGCCTTAGGTTCTTCAAGTTGCTCAAATCTCCACATACTTTTTTGATCTTCAATTCTAACCGAATTTTCCACTTAGGCTTCCCCTTCTTGCCTCTTTGGTTCTTTTGTATTTTCAACCCCAGTTCTTTGGTGGTTATGACGGCTGCTGCATACATCAGTTGGTTAGTTTCGGCTAATGTAGTGGTTCGAATAGTTTGCACAGCCTCATTGACCTTTTTAGTACATTTCTCAATTCTTTCCGGTTCACTTGGTTCAGCTTTGGCAAACGTGTTCTTTCATCATCTTCCATTTGGTGCTTTATTTTTCCAGCTAATTGAGCACTATCTGTTGGTGTTTGTTCTTTAGTGCTTCCTTGTTCTTTATCTTCATCCATTTCAGTATCCTCTTCTTCCCTTTCTTCCTCAATTTGCTTTTGAGTCTGGAAATCATTCTTGATGTTACTCTTTTTTGTTGTTGTACTCAGACCATTAATTGCTTTCTCTTCTATTGCTATTAATTCTTCTGTAGTGAAAAATTTGTGGTTTAGGATTACACGTCGTTGGTCCATTAACCTTTGTTCACTGGTGTCACAGTCCGTATGGTTCATCTTCCAAATCTGATACATTCTTTTTTGAAATCCATGTTTTGCTGGCTCAGACTGATAGTAAGCTTTCATAATAGAGGTGTTTTCTTCCCTGGTCCAGATTTTTCGCTTTTTGGGTTTTTCTTCCAGTAGCTTGTCAGCTCCATGCCCTGGTTGCCTAGCAGAGGGAGTTGAGCCCTGTAACTCATTTTGCGTAGAATGCCCAGGAGCCATAGCATCCAACGGAACCCTTGTTAATCCGGGCGACGGTTCAGCCGGCATAAATTTCATTTTTTCTGTATTCACCATGTTTGAATGGGTTGTGGAGAAGATTTTGTCTGGCCCTTCACCTAAGGTCTGTCTGATATGGTTGCACCTGTTCAGCATAGCCCTTAGGATCACTAGAGCACGCAAGCCCCTCCACCACGACAAGGTAGAGCTCCTCGGAGATTATTATTATTATTATTATTATTATTATTATTATTATTATTATTATAATATTAAATTTATATGCCGCCCTTCTCCCGTAGGACTTGGGGCAGCGCACAGAATAAAAACATATAACAATACGAAATCCTAAAAATAGCCAATATAAAACCCCAACAGAATAAAATGTATTAACAGCAGTTCCATCTTGCTTGGTTTTAATTTGAGCCTGTTCTCTTCCCCTATAGACCTTCACTGTAATTGCTCCAAAGCACCATTTTTTCAAAATGGTGTTTTTTGGAAGTGGCACTTTTGGGACAACAATGAGCTGTATGACTGAGAATCTCCATTGACCCTACTGGACTTGTTTTCTGTGAGGAAAAGGAGGAGGGAATAGAGCCAACTGCATTTAGGAATAATAGTCCTGGGGGTTGATTCCAGTAGTGTTTAATCCAATGACTTCACTCTGGCTGAGGCAGATCCAGCAAGACTCCAGGACTCCTTACCTGCATCAACCCCCTTCCCCCAAGCAATCCGTCCAATCCCAAACAGAGACATTCTTTAAAAATCTAACAGCAGAGGCTGACTTCTGCAGGTCAGATAGACCAACCAAAAAGCAGGACAGCACTACAGTAGTGGCTTATTTATTAGGCTGAAAGAAAATGCTGAGCTTCTTCTCTGGTAATGTTGTACTACTAACTAGAGCATACAAAACATTTGCTAGACCAATTCTTGAATACAGCTCATCTGTCTGGAACCCGCACTGCATATTGGACATAAATACAATTGAGAGATTCCAAAGATATTTTATGAGAAGAGTCCTCCATTCCTCTAACCGCAATAAAATACCTTATGCCACCAGACTCAAAATATTGGGCTTAGACAATTTAGAACTACGCCAACTTCCATCTGACCTAAGCATAATACATAAAATTATCTGCCACAATGTCCTCCTTGTCAGTGACTACTTCAGCTTCAACCACAACAATACACAAGCA